CATTCAGCGACTGCGACACCATAATGATGTCAAATACAATCATTTGTACCTAACAATACTTCAGTCAGTTATGTGTCATGCGTGATACACGCTGAGGCGATCATGTACCTTTCGATACATGACTGATGAGACAGATTTTTTCACGCAGTAGGTTGCCATTTCTTTCTGCGGTAGAGCATTTGCTATCCAAGGTTATAGAATCCGGCTTGTCCTGCTATTTAGGCATTGCTGGGGGGAGGGGAGAAGAAGAGGATTCTGTCCTTTACCAAGGATATTACCACATAAGTGAAGGTAATGGATTCGACTGGAATTCGAACTCGGCTCTCTGATTTCTCAATCCGAGCTGCTATAAAGCTAAATTAGAATAATATTATTCTATGTTTAAAACCATTTTTAATAAGTGTAGGAAACGCTGGTCGTAATGAAATAGGAGGGCTATAATTTATAGGGTTTGATTACCGAACAAGGGGTGCGTATTATGCGTGAGTAGAAGCATTTTCCCATACTTTCAGCAGAGTTTTAGGGTTGTATATTATGGATGAAGGCGTGTTATACATAGGGAATTACGGTAATAGACTGACATAAAAACAGTTTTTATGCTGTGTGCCTTCGAGACATGGCTCTCCACAACTTCTTATCCCTTTTAGCTTTTAGCAACGTTTGTCTTTCAGTAATCCTTCCCATTTATTTCACCTGTTGTCTTCCCCATTCCCTTGTTAATTCGATATTTCCTGTGAGTGTCTACTTCTCCAAGCCATCCTACCACAAATTTCAGCTGTCTGATTCTAAGTGTCCTTCCTGCTTCCATATCACTTAAGATATCTTCGTTGCTTACACACTTTTTCCTCACTATTATCAACATCCTTCCGTAGAAACATATTTCTATTGACTTCAGAATTCTCATTATCTATGAGAAAACTGTCCAACATTCACTGCCATCTCGGTGCATTTGAAATGAATAAATAAATAAAACTAAAATGAAGGTTTTTTTTTGTTTCCATTAAACTCTAAGAAAAGAATATCAGTAGAAAAGATAATGTATTATTATATTTTATTCTCTGAACATAGACCAAAGGTAGATAGCTTGCGCTGGTTTCATTGATTGACAGTTATGCAGGACCGCCCAGAACGTAGCTTGTACACAGCTGAAACACATTAGCATCGTCTGCTCTTACATTCGTTGTGGGATCTCTGCCAAAGTTCAGCAATCCTCAGTGGATGTCAATGGATGCAGTTTCCTTCGCATGGAGGGATTCACTGGCAAATCGACTTGGTGAGCGCACTCATGTCAGACGCCATTTTGCCGCTCTGCTTCTATCTATAACAAGTAAAAAAAAACAAACAACAAAAAACAAAAGAAAAAAAAATTGCAGAAACGATTAGCAAAGTGAGCCCAAATCATAAAATAGGTGGATTAATTTCAGAGTTGATACCCTAGATAAAAAAAAAACGATAAAGTATATATATATATGATTAAATTATATATATATATATATATATATATATATATATATATATATATATTTCAGTCTGTTCATATCTATCTATCTATATATCTATCTATATATATATATATATATATATATATATATATATATATATATTCATATCTATCTATCTATATATTCATATATATATATATATATATATATATATATATATATTTCAATCTGTTTATATCTATCTATCTATATATTTCAGATGGTTTATATCTATCTATTTATCTCTTTCTCTCTCTCTCTCTCTCTCTCTATCTATATATATATATATATATATATATATATATATATATTTCAGTCTGTTCATATCTATCTATCTATATGTAGTGCTCTTCTCTACTTAACTCAATATTGCTAGCCTCTTGCTACTCTGTCGCTATATATATATATATATATATATATATATATGAAAAATTTCTTAGAGTTAACCTGTAGAAAAAGACAATATTTATAAGTGTAAAAGACAACAGGAAAAATGTAATAGTTGCAGACGCGTTTCGTCTAATGTAGACCTTCTCAAGCCAAAAAGCAAAATGAATTTATTTAAACAAAGTAACTAATAATAACAAAAACAAAATGTCCTTAACAACTGGAAGAAGTTAGAGAACGCTATTTTCATACTGTTAATTAACAACAATTGACGTCATTTTCAGTTGACAACGTTTGTGTAGTATTCATAATTAATTTTATTACAGGTTAGTTTAAATTTTTTAATATAGATAGTTTCAAGAATTTTAGTTCATGTTTATTATTTTCATGAAAAAGTAGAGATGTTTTTTCAACAAGAAAATTAATTTATTTTCAACATCGTGAAATTTCAATCGTACAGTACATAACCATAGCGTTTTTCACGTCGGAGTTTAAAAAATTAACTTTCCAATGAATACAATAATATATATACAACAATTTTTCTTAGAAAAAAAAAAACGACACCCTAATGATAACATTGTGCTAATGTTGAAAGTACTCGGAATAAATGAATATGTATCAACATGGTAATTTTCACTCTTCCTTTAATAAGGATACTAAGAAGGTTGTCCGTAATTATGAGAGGATTCTATTGAAAATAAGTAGACAAAACTTATCGAAATTATTCAATGAGACATGTCTTGATGAAAAAATGCTGCCAAAATATACGCAATATATATATATATATATATATATAACTCTCTATGTTAAAATCTAAACCGAGGAAGGATCCAGACAAATATTCGAATTTACAATTAAAATATATATATATATATATATTTTTGCAAATGTATTCTCAAATTACAATTTAATATAACGATTTTTGTCTACAATCCATATGTCATTTTAGGTCACCACAGCGATTATTAAAACTGAGACCGTTTTCTTTTCCTCGTTTCCTACACGATGATAATTTAATATCTTTCTTTTCCCTACTTCCTATATAAAATCACTATTCTTAATTTTTAAACCTAAAGTTATTTTTTCCATCCTCATTTGGTTTACAGGTCTGAGGATTTGAAGCCATGTTTTATTGGCTTCAATGAAATAAGATATCACCTATGGTTTATAAGGGTTTATGTGTCATTATATAATGTTTTCTCTGTCTTTTGATATAGAACTCTCAATGGATCTATATCCTGTTGGAAATTCCAAACGGATTACCAATAATTTTATTATTATTATTATTATATATATATATATACTGTTATAAAGGAATAAAGTCTATCCTCTATACTATTCAGATCGCTAGTTCTAGTCTATCCTCTATACTATTCAGATCGCTATTTCTAGTCTATCCTCTAATACTATTCAGATCGCTATTTCTAGTCTATCCTCTAATACTATTCAGATCGCTATTTCTAGTCTATCCTCTAATACTATTCAGATCGCTATTTCTAGTCTATCCTCTATACTATTCAGATCGCTAGTTCTAGTCTATCTTTTATTACTATATGGTTCGCTATTCTTTATAATATTCCTCTATTCGGATCACTACACGGATTCCTATTCGAGCGAGTATCATCAAGCAAGTACTATGATTGCTATTGTTAATCGAAGGCGTTTGACACCAGTATTGTTCAACGGCGTTACTATAGGTGTATCTGCGATTACAAAGTCTCTACTACAACGAGCATTACGAAAGTGACGAATATTCGTTGACATCACAAAAGTGGCAACGAGTGTGCGTTGACATCACAAAATACACACACATACATACACGCAAAATATATATAAATATATATATATATATATATATATATATATATTTGTAGGTCTGATGAATTGATCGTGATTACGATTCCAATGTAACCATGGAATATTAGTGTTTGAGCCATTTTATATATATATATATATATATATATATATATATATATATATATATATATATATATTGATAATATTAGTGTTCAATACATATATATTTATATACATAAATTCCTAAGAGCCTTTTATATTATTTATATATATATATATTATTTATTTCAATTAAATGGTGCAAATATAATTTATAAATTCATGAATCATTCATAGCAAAAACAAATATAGAGTTTAATGATTTAAATGGCGAGAATACATCGTCGCAAACACATAAATAAGATACACCAACCCCAAACCTGTATATGAATGATATGATCCCTGTTTATAAATTCCAGTTGCATAAGATCTTTTTAATTTTTTACAAGCTTGCGTCTGTTCCTACAGACATCATCAGGTATGGAAATAGATTTTGTTCTTGTTTTTACTTCTCAGTAATAAGAGGACAACGAAAATAGAGATGTAATCCGAAAAAATGCTATGAGAAATGTGCTATTGTTTTTTGGAACGTGCGGTCGCAACGCTGAGTTTGAATTTAAATTTTACCGGTAAAAAAGAATTCTCTAATTGCTATATTTGTACAAAACGCAGAACCTTAAAATGTATATTTTTAATATATATATATATATATATATATATATATATATATATATTATCCCTCACTGCAATCTTCAGGTGCTTGGTAGAGTTTCTACTCAACACCTGAAGAGTGGGTTGTGCAAAAAAACTGGAGCCATGGTACGGGTGAATATATATATATATATATATATATATATATATATATATATATATATATATGTGTGTGTGTGTGTGTGTGTGTGTGTGTGTGTGTGTAACAGAATATGGAATTCAGTCAGTTTATGTACAATTTGTGAACAATGCTCAAAACCTTACTCGAAATTGGAAAAATACAATGAAAAATTGGATATTATCCGTTCTTTTTAATCAAAATTGTTTCGCTGAATAATTTCTGAATATATATATATTATATATATATATATATATATATATATATATATGTGTGTGTGTGTGTATGTGTGTGTGTGTGTGTGTGTGTGTGTGTATCTACAAACAAGTTTGATTAATAAAAAACGATAAAATCTGTCTTGAATTTTTTTCTATCTTTACTTTTACTTTTAGGAGATCCTTATGGTCAGCACTTTATTAAAAGGAGAAAGTTGGCGCTTTGGACAAAGCACTCAAATTGACAACACGATGGTTTACGGTGACGCCGATTGCCCAAACGACCAGATCAAAGTCCCATCTAATATATCCCAACTGAATATCTTGTGAATTTTCATTTATTTGGTAAATGGATCTTTTTTTAATGTTTTTATCTCATCGTCATGAAAAGCCAAAGATGAATTAAAATATCTGGAAAACTAGCAGAGCATTACCAAAGTCTTTCTTGCTATATTCCATCCTCCTATATTAAAAAATCTGGCGACAGAATAATGACCTTAAATTTTTCTTTCTGTTTTAAAGACTTGTATTTAATTTTCATTGTGCGCAAAATTTTAACAGAATTGGATTATCATATTATCCATCTAATTTGTTTATGAGAGCTACAGTGCTATATATACTACAGTGAATGTTATTACTCACTGAATCTCCTGAAAGTATACTATTGAAATTAGATGTAGGATTGTCCAAAAAAGCCAGAGTATTAATAGATAATACAATTATGTTATCTGGCAAGTTAGGTAGCTTGCCAATGGGAAAAGCCTCATGTGCTTAATATAAATCAGGATATTCTTAGATTTCCACGATTCAAGGAAGACATGTATCAATACTCAGGAAGAAAACTCAGACATTTTGACAAAACTAATCTTGATGGGTTGTTTAGTTCATTGTTTTACTTTAGCGGCATATCAACACCTCTATGGGTTATTTAATACCGAAATCTAAATATTTTTACGCAGTTTTATTTCATTTTTTGAGATAATGATGATTTTAGTGATAAAAGTTTTATTCATTAACCCATAGCTAGGGGAGAAGGTGGGTCCATACATTTCCCAAGTGGATTTGCACTTATAAATATAACGAGAACAGCTGCAATTAGAACTCGGCTCTCTTATTAACAATTCCGAGCTTTTATCCATTACACACAACACATCCAAGCTAACAGCTCCTGGTAATACCATGTGGTCTAGGTAGTGACCAAGCTCGAAATTGCTTAACTTCGCTGTCCGTACGGGAACAGGTGTTTCAACGTGATATGGCCGTATACGAAAAATCACCTCGGAGAAGGCATAAACATTGAAAGTACAATAGAATAGTGCTGTTGCTTTTTACTATACTCAAGCTATCTATCTATTTATGTCTATGTCTGTCTGTCTATCTATCTATCTATCTATGTCTGTTCATTATCTATCTTAGTCTGTTCATTATCTATCTATCTATCTATCTATCTATCTATCTATGTTTGTTTATTATCTATCTATCTATCTATCTATCTATCTATCTATCATAGTCTGTTCATTATCTATCTATCTATCTATCTATCTATCTATCTTAGACTGTTCATTATCTATCTATCTATCTATGTTTATCTATCTATCTATCTATCTATCTATCTATCTATCTATCTATCTATCTATCTATCTATGTCTGTTCATTATCTTTATCTGTTCATTCTCTATCTATATATGACTGTTCATTATCAAATCTATCTATCTATCTATCTATCTAACTTCATATGTATGTATGTATATTCTTTTAAAACATCAATTATTAAACGAAAGGTAATATTGGTAGTATGAAATATTTTATAAAATCCCAATATAAGACACAGCCTTTCCATTCCTTTCTTCCTATATTGATTGTCTCAACTTATGTTTGCCTCTGATACCTATCTGCTTACCACTCCTAGCGATCTGCCTGCCCTTCCCCACGTTGTAAAGAAATAAAACCAAAAAAGGGATGGTGGAATTGGAGTTCATCAAGTTTTCCCTTGTGTGAACTCGGGATTCTGAAGAGAAAGTCATTTAGTTCCTGTAGCAATCATTTGTGGCCTTTGTAAAAGAACAGAAAACAGTCTATGTGAAGAGAAGATGATTTTTCTAGAGGGACCGATCAAAACTGGAACGGAAAACACACACACACACACACACACACACACACACACACACAAAGGAAGTAAATAATCGACTAAAAAGGGAAGTCGCTTAAAATACGAATTTCCTGTCATGATGTCTCACTTTCTTTAAAGCTCTATCAATTTATCACAGTCTCTTTATCTATGTATCTATCTCAATCTCTTCATATCTATCTATCGAATTTAGTTTCTTCGTTATCTATCTTTCTATCTATCAGTCTTTTCATATCTATTTATCGGTGTTTTCATATCTATTTATCTATCTATCTATCTTTCTATCTATCTATCTTGCACATACAAGAAAGTACTTCCAAAACATATTGCATATATATATATATATATATATATATATATATATATAGTGCTGTGCAAAAGTAAGTGAACCCCTAAGGTAATATTTAAAATAATTGTCACTTTTTTACAGATAATCTACAAATCTTAATTCGGCTATATATTCGTTAAGAAAAAAAACCCTTATTAAATTAATTACAACTACTTTCAAAGTTTTTGTTTTTATCAAGATGTAAGAAAAGTATTAATTTAAAATGAAAATTCAGATGTGCAAAAATAAGTTAGCCCTTACAAATAAACTCTGTATTTTTGATTTACAACCATGTCAGTGCAAATAATTTTTGTGCACGTGTAAAAATTAAAAGGACAAGTGTTCATTTTTTGGTAAGCCGTGTATACTGCAGTCAAACAATGTAGCTGATTGTGTCTGCAAAACTGTGCAGTTAGAGACTTAATTTTAAACCTATACAGTGTAACCCGGATATAAGAGAAACCCGGATATAAGAGAAACCCGGATATAAGAGAAACCCGGATATAAGAGAAACCAGGATATAAGAGAGATTTTCTCTGGTCCCAAATTAGAGCCTGTGTTAATGTATATAAAATAGACCGAACCCGGATATAAGAGAAACCCGGATATAAGAGACTTCTTTTCCGGTCCCGACAACTCTCTTATATCCGGGTTAAACTGTATACGCAAAGATCAAAAGAACGTCCTGAAACTTTAAAAAAATCACATAGTGAAGCCTATAATAATGGAGATGACCACAAAAATCTATCAAAATGATTTGGAGTGCAGTTCTCTACCGTGTAAATAATTACTTATAAGTGGAAGTTCTTTGGTAGGATGGAATCACAATCAAGATGTGGCCGTCCGCGAAAAATGACTGCAAGAGCAAGCAGACGTCTAGTTCAGCAAGCTCAGGCAAATCCTGCTGTGACCCTTTTGGTTCGCCAATGCTCATTGGCCAATGTTGGAATCAATATACATACATCTACAGTGCGACTAAATCTGAACAATGTGATCTGTATGGCAGAATGTCTAGAAAAATCCCTGCCTACAAAATAGCACAAATATGCTCGCCTTAAATATGCCAAAGCTGATATTAATAAGCTAGAAATATTCTGGCAAAAGTTTTTACGGTCGGATGAGACCAAACTTGAGCTTTTCAGGAGGAACAGTGGGTGGTTTATCTGGTGAGCTCTTAATATGGCTTTTGAAGAGAAGAATTTGATAACAGCCATTAAACATGGCGGTGAGAAAATTATGATTTGGAGGTGCTTAGTTGCAGCTGCATCAGGTAAAATAGTATGCACTGGCGGCATAATGGATCCTGCAATATACCAAGTAATTTTGAATGAAAGTGTCTTGTCCTCAGTTCAAAAGTTGGATTTAGGTCAGGACTGGCACTTTCAAGAAGACAATGATCTGAAGCATCAAATCAAATCCACAAAAGAATGGGTTTGTAAAAATAAATTTCAAGTCATGCAACGACCTGATCAAAGTCCTCATCTAAAGCCAATTGAAAATCTGGGATTCAAGTGAAAGGAATTAGTACATGCAAGAAGCCCAGGTAAAATTGAGCAATTATAGGAATTTTGCCAAAAAGAATAGTCGAAGAATTGGCACTCATTGCTTCGAGAAACTTCTTAAAGATTATAGAAAAAGGCTGGTTGACATTGAAGCCTTAAAAGGAGCAGTCAACAAATAATAAATGTAAGGGTTCACTTACTTTTGCATATCTTAATTTTTAATTAATATTTTTTATTCCAGCTTGATAAATGTTTTTTAGAAATTGGTTATAATTGATTAAATGTATGTTTTTCTTAATGAATATATAGTTTAATTACGATTTGTTGATCACATGAAAAAAAAGAGAATTTTTAAAAATATTACCTTAAGAGCTCACTTATTTTGCACAGCACTGTGTGTATATATATATATATATATATATATATATATATATATATGTATATATGTATATAGTCGACTCTCCTGTCATGATTCGACGTATGAGGGTTAAGCAGATCAGTTTCCAGGAAACCGACTGCCTGGACACCAGCACATGAGATTTGATTATAGTAGTGAAGGTTTCGTGCAGGACCAGCCACACTTTTTGAAGGGCCGAATACAGAGACCTGGTGCACTACGTGCCACAAGGTCCCCAAACGACCCTCCGCAGATTTTGAATTCAGAGTTGTCCTTCTCCTAGACCAGTTGCCATCCAAGCCTATAGAACCCAGTCTGTCCTGCTATTTTACCCATAGCTGGAGAGAGAGGAAGTGGATTCATACCTTTCCCAAGGGTATTAGCACGTAAGTGAATGTAATGGCTGGAATTCGAACTCGGCTCTGCGATTCCTCAATCCAAGCCGCTATCCATTACTCCACTCTCTCTCTCTCTCTCTATCTATCTATCTATCTATCTATATATATATATATATATATATATATATATATATATATATATTCCGTCATTAACACTAAATTTACCGTTAACACATCAATGTCTATTATTAACATTATCAATAATAATTAATATCACAGCTATTATCACTACCAGCATCATCACAACCATCAACAAAATACAAGAAGTTAACTTTGAAAATATAAACATCATCATCACCATGACGACAAACAGAACCCAGCATAACCAAAGTGGTGGGGAAAAGACCCAGGCCAACAATAGTGTAAGCGCGTGTCTCCACATCTGTGTATGTGTGTGTGTATGAGGAAGTGTAAGTTCCTCTTACAGCCCATGTAGTAGATCTACCCGCTACTTGTTGAAACGAAAATCACTACACATAAAAATTTGAGGTCCTGACACCAAAATAGAATTACAACTGCGTATGTATGTATGCCCGAACGCACGGAAATGTATATGCGTCTAGCCTCGAATTGCATATATGGATGTGTTGATGTGAACTAAAATGCGTACACCTGTATGTGTGTGTCTACGCGTATGATAGTGCCACCCCAAACAAACACAGAAGTAGATTCCCCCTCCCACTACCAAACATAGTTAAACAAGCATAAATAGATTCAATAATTACATACATGTTCAAACATTAGTACATTTTTAAAAATATTATAGTGTATATTTGGGGAGCTGTCCTTTTCTGCATGTTTAGTTGAATATGATGAACAAAAAGTATATTGGAAGCTTTTTATTCACTTATTCTTGTGTCCTTACTTGTGTGGTGAAATTTTAAACTGTGTTTAAGTGGAGAAATAATTTCTTTTTAATCAATTCACTTCAAACTCGGCGATAATGCCACTAAGATGCAAGTAGCAGCTGGTGCGAAAGAGAATGAGAAGAATTTAGAAGGATCCGGAGACCGATTCCTAAATAGAAAACACGTGATAAACCTCAACTTCTATTCAAAATTCCGGGGAGGAGAGTGAACTGGACAATAGGCAAATCTATCTACTCCTATTGAGGAAAAATATAAATAGTAAATAAAACTTCCATGTTTTAGGCGGAGACGTTAGAAGTAGGCTTTAGAAGGAGACGGAAACCCAGTTCTAAACAGGAAACAAGGGAGAAAACACTTCTGTTCCCCCCCAAAAAAAATGGAGTGTGAACCGGACGATAGGCGAAACCATCTTCTATCGCCCATAAAAAATGAAAAAAAAGGAAAATTTAATAAAAAGTTCACAATATATTCCGTGGACACCATCTTTAAGCATTCGTAAGCTAAAATTATTTCGTAAGCATGGCGGATAAACAGAAATTTACATATGTTTGTGTGACAAACTTACAAAGCAAACAGTATATATATATATATATATATATATATATATATATATATATATATATATATATATATAAGATTATTTGATAATTAATAAGGATAATTCCAAAGAGGATATAAATCAAAAGAGAGCTCAATGTGATATAATAATGATGAAAGTGGAGACTTTAGAAATCGATGGCAATAATGTATGTCGCGGGATCAATCAGATCCCGTCTCTTCAGACCAAAATGGTTGTAAAAATGTTTGGAATGAAGAGAAGGGATCCTACTGATCTCGCGAAATAAATTATTACGAAGGATTTCTAAAGTCTCCGCTTTCATTCATTATATATATATATATATATATATATATATATATATATATATATATATAATTTCTTATTACTTCAAATGTTATTTTTAGTAGAATCCCTTATTTAAGTAGACGATGCATTTAATTTAAACTGTTTATTTACCTACCAGCGTAATCGAGAAAACTTTATGAAAATATGTGCCCTCCGGCAGGATTTGAACCTTGGCTGCTCTTTTCATGTGCAATTTTTATCTGATCCGGGGTGCATTTGCCGCTCAGCTACGAAGAACTTCACAAATCCATTTTCCAATGGCGGCTAGCGCATGCCTATTGCAGAGAATTCCAGGAAAATATATTTAATCATTTCTAAGATACAACAGCTCAAAGCTTTATCTAAAAATTGGAAAGGTTTGCTGTTAACCCCGCTATATATATATATATATATATATATATATATATATAAACACTGCGTGCCAAATTATTATCGAGATATATTTTTTTCTAATATTTCAAAAACCGTCCAATCAATTCACACAAAATTTTCACACAATGTTGGCAACACTGACTTGTGCAATCACTGACATTTTCGTACTGATCTGCGCAATGTAAACAAACTGGCGCAATATTTGTTATCAGCACGGTGATTTGATCGTGCCAAATTATTAGAAAGGTTTAGTAAAATTCCCAGAATTGAGCAAACAAAGCGTTTATTAATGTTGCACATGAATGTTTATGATCAAAAGAAGCTAATAAATAAGATAATCAAACAAATAATAACAGATACCAACAAAGGCACAGTTTTAAACAAATTAATAGGGAATGTGCTTTCCCTGTTTTGAAATTATTTGAAGAAGTTGACGATCCATAGGATTTGTTAATTGTAGGATGTCATCTGCTGTAATGCCGCGAGATATGTCAAGAATTGCTTCCCACAACTCAGCGTTGCTCCTGAATTGTCGTCCATTGACGTACAGTCTTCGCTTCATGATGCTCCAAAGGTTTTCGATTGGGTTCAATTTCTGAGAATTTGCTGGCCACATCATTTTTCGAGGTCCATCGAAGCCTAACTGTTTCAAATATTCAGTAGTCTTGTGAGCAGCATGTGAGGGGGCATTATCTTGCATAAAAACATTGGCCCTTCTTAAGGCAACTCTTTGCCTTTTCATCTACGGTTCAAGATGCTCCTTCATAAACGCTATGTATGCATCAGCAGTCACTTTGACGCCATCTGGTACTCTCCATGGGCCCACTAATGTTTTTCCAATAATACCACCCCAGATCATTACGCCTCCACCGCCTTGTTGGCGTCTCAAACGCTGATGGAGATTCTGTCCGTTCATTACCCAGCCTTTGCACCATCTATTTGGCCCATCAAGTGTTGCTCGAATTTTGTCTGTGAACAAAACTTTAGAGAAGTCAATCTTCATATTGTCCTCGGCCCATTTCAATCGATTTCAAATGTAATTTCTCGTCAACGGAAGCTTCGATACAGGTTTGACTGTTGTTGCTATTTCCCTCAGATACCAACACCGAGTACTTTTAGACACAGTAGGATCCCCAATGCGACTGAAAAGCTCTTGACTGGTAAGTCCAGGGTTCTTCGTGGCCTCTTGTTTAAGTCGTGACATGAGACGACGTGAAATAACCCTCGGCTTGCCTTTATCTGCCCTTTTGCCTACTTGTATAGGGTCGGCGGTGAACTTTTTCAATGTTTGATGACACCTCACTATCCTTTTAGAAATTTCTAGGGTAGATTTACATTTTGAGAGTTCTGAGGTGATAGTTTTCTTTTCAGCATCACTTTAAACTGCTTTTACGGCCCATCTTTTCACTAAATTCTCACACCTTTCTAATAATTTGGCACACTCAAATCATCGTGGTGATAACAAATATGGCGCCAGTTTGTTTACATTGCGCAGATCTGTATGAAAATTTCAGTGATTACGCAGGTTAGTGTTGCCAATATTGTATGAAAATTTTGTGTGAAATGATTGGACGGTTTTTGAAATATAAGAAAAAAGTTATCTTGATAATAATTTGGCACGCAGTGTATATATATATATATATATATATATATATATATATATATATATATAAACTTGTTTTTATTAAATCTGGGACATTTTTCCATCATTGATGGTATTCTCATTTTAAGGGAATCTGTGAAGGTACCTAATATATATTCCCCCTTTTTTTCACTTTTTTTCCTTTTCATTTTTCGTATCACATTTTGAAAGTGAAGTCTGAAGATCCAGAGAAAATAAAATTTTCTGGTGAAATAAATTATAACACATGGAGCCTTAAAGTGGTCTGTTTTTCTTTAAATTAATCTCTCTCTCTCTCTCTCTCTTTTATATATATATATATATATATATATATATATATATATATATATATATATGGAATGAAACTGTGGTAAAATATTAAACATGTACCATTTATATTAAAAACAAATATACATTTGTTCATAACCGTATTTTGAGTCCGTACATATGAGTGTAAATGTGCTTTCAACTGGGGTAGTTCCAAAATAATATTAAACGCAAACCCCAGAGGGGTGCAACCCCAGGCAGTACCTTTACTTCAGAAGGGGTCTGGTGTAATTACTCGGCGTTTCCAAAAAGTGAAAGTCCCGATGGGGCTTGAGCAATTTTTCCCCGTTATTGCCGTTAAAACCACTTTAAAATTTGACCTTGTGTCACATTCGGTAGCAACGTGTGCGCGATGAAAAAAAAATCATCTTACATTTGTGTGTGCGGAGGTTTAGTGGGAGTCACCAACTCCAGCTGAAAGTCTCATCATGGTGATCTTTGCCTGAGTACTCTAAGCGGCGGACACGTGTCGGTGTTGAACCCTTCCCCACTCCGACGAGAGACGCCTGCTCCATTTTTCTTGTTTTCATTAGTTTTTTTTTTCTTCTTCTCCTTGCCCGACATTAATTCAACAACTGGGACCACCAAATCTCTTCATAGCTGCAAGGAAAACATCTTTTCCTGCATCGCGTCTACAATTGCCATCAAAATGTCCATTTTCCTTGGCAAATGGCTATCGTTTGCAAGATGACTTCATTTTATAACTTTGTGCAAATGACCAGCCACAAAATTACAGGAAACGGCATCGAAAAAAATCTGTGAGCTCAGAGGCCCGAAATTTCTTTCTTGAACAAAGGAAAAATGAAGTTCTTTCATCCATGATACATTGTCTTTGTGGAACGGTGAGACACGGCAAAAATTTCACTTGAAAGAACAATAGATTATCCAGATTAATATTCTGCTTGTATTTCTTATTCCCCACAACGACCGTGCTGAGTAGTTTACAGCTTAGTGTGTAATATCTAATGCAATTAAAGATCATCTAACAAATAATTTTTTACTTAAATATTCAGATCATTTTTTTGGCATGTGATTTTGGGAAAGATTGAATGATGCTTTCCCAGGATCTGTTCCACAGTTCCCCTTTTCTTTGGTATTTAAGGGGAGAGATCGAAGCCTAAACTGCTATTTCGACCATAGATTTAGAAGCGACCGATTCATGACTTTTCCAAGTGCATTAGTGCGAAAGCGAACACAACAGTCTTGCCCTGGATTTAAAATCGGTTCTCTGATTCCAGTTTCACACTGTTACCCGTTATATATATATATATATATATATATATATATATATATATATATATATATATATATAAAGGCTTAAACACTAATAACCGATTTTCGATTTCTTTTTGAATTTGTAGGTCTGATGAATTGGATCGTCATTACGATTCCAATGTAATAAATTATAACTATGGAATATTAGTGTTTGAGCCTTTTATATTATATTCTTACTCTGTCCTGGACATTGAGTTCTATCTGGATTCTATCCTCTTGGGAATTTATATATATATATATATATATATATATATATATATATATATATATATATATATATATTGACCACTATTATCTATCTATCTATCTATCTATCTATCTATCTATATCTATATATATATTTCTCTGCGCATACGTATAAAAAAGATAATTATATGCAAATACTTTAAATATATATGTATATATTTTTTTTTATTTATACGTTATTGTAATAGATATAAGTATGTGCTTGTTTCTTTTAAAAATCCATTATTTATCTATTAAAAATAATGTATAAATAGAAAATATAATAATTTTTTGTTGGACTTAATCTATTTCCTAATATGTTGTCAATGTTTACGTTAAGGTACGTTTCTTGAGCTGATATGATAGTTCGAGAAAGATCGTCAAGGATTTGTTTTTTATAAACAATAATTCGGACATTACTAACCAGACGCTTCTTTGTGGTTGAATGGTTGACAGCACATCAGATCAAATGATGGTTCCCATGGGAATTACAAGTTCAATTCCTCGTCAGAGAAGCACATATTCTCTACAAAATTTTTTGAACATTCAGGCCGGTAAATGCAATTAATACTGTTTACTTAAAAAAATAAAAGGAGCACTTAAATAAATTGTATCTATTAAAAATAACGTATAAACAGAAAATATATTAAATATATATATAGATATTTACTGTTGTGGATTCCGAGATGAAATCCGGTCTCAAATGAATGACAAACGCAGGAATGAAATATAGCAAATAAATGTATTGACGCAATCATACGGTTAGTAGATAATACGGTAATACGGTTAGTAGATCCAGAAATGCGGTTAGTAGCAATAATAATATATTAATATATACAGTCTGGGAAATTCAGTATCGAAGTAGGACTTCCTTCTGAGTCTACGTGCTCGCAACTGTGACTCCTACAAAGCGGTTACCTCACACTCTCACGCTCTCACTGTATCAGTGTATCTCCCACTAACTCTTACACTCCCGGGTATTCACCGGCAGCAGTACAAGTACATACTGGGCGAGTCCACTTGTATGAAAAAGGGGTGGACCTCATAACATTTACTGGGGTAGGAAAAAATTCAGCACCTCCTTTGATGAAATTCATCTTAAAATCAAGAAACTGATCTGATAGAGAACTGAAAAGGATTATTAGAAAAATAAATCGGCATAATATGTCTACATTAGACAATGAAATATGTTTGCTATCTATCTATCTATCTATCTATCTATCTATCTATATATATATATATATATATATATATATATATATATATATTTAATATCTGTCTATATTTCTTGGATGAGTTTGTAGTGACTAATACTACGTTTGCCACGCCTACATTTTTCTCAACTGTGATTGGTTAAATAATAAATACTGTTTACCACAGGACAATTTACTAATCGCAGTCACCACACTAAATTTTTTCTGTTGTGAATTTCACAAACATGCTTTTGTTAGAAAATTACCGATTGGTTAATTTTTCACCAAACCATATATTTTCTGTGTTCGTTCAATTCTCCCGCCTTTGTTCCTGGAGCCTAGCAATAGTTATAAAAGCAGCGTTTTGTTTCAAAAATAGACAGTAGAATTCAGCAACTCACACGCGTTTACACAGATTATTGATTCTACTCACTGCGCACACACAGGCACAGAACTTGAATTACATTGCACCATTCGTTTTCTGTGAACAAGCCAAGTTACAAACCAACACTCTGATAGTTATACAAATAACACACAACTGAATTAACTGTATGTTTTTCTAAATGCAACATTCTATTTCGACATCGAACTTTGAACATTCTATTCAAGAAACCTCCTTAATTACATTTTATCTTATTCAAGCTAACAGATTAAGGGAAGCTACTTTTTTCTCCTTAATATTCATACATTACAAAATTGTTTTGTATTTGTTGATTTTAATATATATTTTTATCGTTGAAACAAAAAATCATTTTCTCATTGTTTTTCCTTGATTCAATAATGTATAGATATTAAATGTTCTTCAACGCGCAGGCACATTAATCTCTTCAACATAGTACACAAGCAGCATTTACAAGTTATTGTAACTATTTAAACTATTTACATAGTTTTCTTCATCTTTATTGCTATATTCACGAGGTTTCGGCCGTTTTACCCTCCGACCTTCTCCCGGTGATATACGTTGGAATTTCTAACAGTTTATTTCGTTCAGGGGGTAGACTGTTCTAAATGTCACAGAGAATTAGGGCAATCTTTCCCCGTGGACTCAGTAAAGAGTTCGGTTCGAAATTCAAACGTATATCTCCTGAAGAAGGCTGGAGCTTACAACGGCCAAAACGTCGTGAATATGGCAATAAAGAACAGTCCGAATCGATGTAAATAGTTTAAAAGATATTATGTTTAAATACAGAAAGAGTCATGAAAATGAATTCATAGGGCCGTTGTATGTCCTTTTCCTTTTGCCCAGTGGTTGTTGCCAGACAAAAATGAAAATGAGTCCTCTCGATATAGATGTGCATTTTAATATCATTCTGATTGCGTATATTTTAATCAATGACAGATCTAGAATAATTTTACAAATGAAAGAAAAAACTTAAGTGTAAAACCTTCATATTGTTTGTGTGTGTGTGTGTGTGTGCGTTTGCGTACACGTACATTAAATGACACATATGCATACACATAGGCGCATACATTGTGTTACGACGGATAGCGAATAGGTTTTTTATTAGTAATATAGATTTGGACGTGAGCTCCTTCAAAACGACCCCAAAAGATTTGGTTTGGCTTGCTTTGTTTTACGTCATATCAACCTTATTGTGTTATTTAATGCCGTCAAGATTTTTATTTTTATTAATATTTTTTTTTTCAAAAATCTATTTCTGGTAATAATTTTTTTCCTCCGAAAATTCATTGCTCGTAGTAACATTTACAAAAAAATATATTGCTGGTATTAAAATCTGTTTTTACATTTTCCTAGTGTTTTGACACCAGTTTGGGAGTTAACTATTTTCCCATAGCTGGGACCCTAATAGGTGCTACAACTCTGAGTCAGGGTGGACCTGGGAACACCAGCAATAAAGAGGTGGTTCCTCCTGATCAGAGGCTTTTCTGTTGGATGTAGTTTAATGTTATATCCAGGACGGGATCCAAAAAGAAAAAAAGAGAAGGTAAAAAAAAGAGGTTGAAATGAGTTCTAAAACAAAACATGAAGAAATGTAATATTGATATCAACAGCTGAGAATCCAGTGCAATGGACTGGAATCTCTGAAGATCGAATGTCATAGACGGAACAAAAATCTTCGAATCGAAACGATCAGCCGAACTAGAGTAAAAAAAAACATCGAAAACAAAGATAACAACAGTCAAGGCCTAATCAACCATCCAGAATAACCTGACCGAAATGTCGAAGGACCTTTCTAGCAGAAATTGGTCCTCTTTGACATATCAGAGGTCACAAACCCAAAACAATAGCGTTATTCTCGACCTTGAGGGATAGGCACGAGATTTGCTTAAAGATAATACAAATTCCACATAGAAATGCTATGAATGGCACAGCATGAGACCACGACGATCTACTGGTTCATAGGATAATTTGATTTGCTTATGATCTTTAGTACAAGTTTTCTTAAGTACTTATAAGAATGTAACAAATGACGTTGTTTCATTTTTGGTCTAAGTTATAGTTATGTCTTATCTGATTTTGTCGCAGTTTTATGGCGACATATTCACAACGTGTTAACAGATATTAACCATTATAGCTATAGAAGATATTAAGTTAATTAAAACTAAAAGTTAGTAAAGTCGAGGTGTCCATTTACCTACAATACAATACGACACTTGACACCTCCGTATAACAATTTATCTTTCTGCAAACAATATCAATACAAACAAAAAATAAAAGGCTTGTCATTTCTCGAACCTGATCATTGTTCAATAAAAAGGCTTTTCTGTTCTCGACACTGATCATTGTTCAATAAAAAGTCTTTTCTTTTCTCGAACCTGATCATTGTTCAAAAAATGTTTTTTCAATTCTGCACCCTGATCATTGTTCGTGTTTTTATTGAATTCATGAATCTCATCCATAAAGGATCATTGTAATTACTGGCTTTCTTTTGTCTTTTGAATGTGGAGAGATTTTAAACTTAACGTTCAATTATTTACTTTAATTCACATAGCTGTGTACTTTTTACAGCATGCTTATGGCTACGTCCCATTCGGT